AATCATGGCTTGATGAGGCTCCTGCTGAGCCAGTTGTTCAGAATTTGACACAGACATCATCTGCCAGAGTTTCTTTTACAAACCGCAACTTTGAGCGAAAACCTAAATTGCACACATTGTTAGACTCATCTGGCAGTAATGGCTTAAGTGTTCTATATGCCTTCTCATCTGAAGTTTTGCCCAGATCGCGCTTGCTAGTATGTGTGGACTTATATTTTGAGAATGTCACTACACAGCAGCTAACAGATATAACTATTGAATCTGAAGAGGCTTCTAGCAGTGTGGATTCTATAGACCAAACATCAGAAGGATCTTCGGGGTATGTATCATCTTCATCTGCATTTTAGTTACTTCCATGACAACATTTATACAGGCAGATGCTTATGATGCAATTGTTTTGTTGGTTTGTTTATCTTTGTTGGCTTATATTACTTGTCTGCCCATTTATGATAAATTATTTTTACAGTGTCCCTACCATCGTTCCTGTGGAAGAGATACATTTGTTGGCTCCACAACAAATGGCAAAGATGGTTCTTCAGGTCCATTTTCATCACCATCTCTTGCCTCTAAAGCTGTCTGTGCTTTGCAATGGGAAAAGGCATCCAGCAAAGCTTCATCCTGACATTGCTTATTTTGTTCGGCCACTTCCCATGGACCTAAATACTTTCCTATGCAAGGAAAACCAATTGAGGGGAATGTTTGAGTATGCTAGGAGGTCAGTGAACTTCAACCTTGTTTGATTCCAAATTAGGTTCCCATCTATCGATGATATGCATTAGAACTAATCTGATGAAAATTGCTACAGGTGCACCTTCAAAGATCATCTTCAGAAGCTAGAGCACGAGGACAGTGCAGAGCACAGCGATAAGAACCTTCAGGTGGCCCAGAGTGTTGCTTCAAAGATACTGAGCAATGCTAATGTTCACCTTGTCTCAATGGATATGCCAGTAACCTTCAGTGTCGATGACGCCTCTGGCTTGTGTTGGAGATTCAGCAGTGAAATCCTGAGCACCTCAAAACCTTGCCTGATTACCATCCTCGCAGAAGGGCATGCCTCAGGTCCACTGGATCTTACTGTGAAGGTGAATTCTGAAGATACGGTGTTTGCCCTGAACCTCCTGAACAGAGTTGTGGCGATCATAGATTGAGGTGTCAACTTTTTAGCTTCTTGTTGAGCGTTCAGTTTAAGATATCATGTGGATACTGTAAATTGTACATTATCAACAAATACAAAGGGTATTTGGCAAGCGCGTGACTATTTGTAAGAAAGATTTGTTGAATAATAGCATCTCCAATAGTTCCAAAAAAAATCATAAATGAATGAGTTTTACAACTAGCTGAAAATGGTAAAGAGTATATTTATTGGTTTTCTCCAACCGTTTCTATTATCTCGCTCCTAAAAAAATGTTCCACATGAAGGTTTCTTGGCAGCAGCTCGGTCTTCCTTGCGCATAGATTTAGGGGGTGTTTGGTTCCAGCCTTCACCTGCCACACTACATTTGGCAGCCCGTTTGGTTGATGAGAACGAGAGCCATAGAAGAATCTCAGCTTTGTTATTTTTAGTTTGTAGCGTCGATTTTCACCGGCACAGATGTGGCGCTACCGCACTTTAGTCATGCCGAGTTATGACAGGCATCCAAACAGCCCCTTAGTCTGCAACCATGCCTTAGTCGCCACTGCCTCCGGCCACAGTCGGCCGGCAGCCATCCCATGCACCCTCCAGCCGCCCACTGCACCCATCCCCTGCATCCTCTAGCCGCCCACCCAGACAAGGTTATAGCCGGCCATGACTAGCCACAGGCCACAGGCAGGGCCAAGTTAGCGGTGACCATAGCCTATCAGGCGGCTTCACTACACGTTAGCGGCAGTTATAGCCCGTTAGGCGGCACCATTGCATTGGCGGCGGCCATAACCCGGCAACAAGTTCTAGGCCAGCGATGACCATAGCTCATCAGGCGGTAGTTGCAACTACGCAGCCACACCAGGCAGGGCAAGGCCAGCGGCGGCCATAGCTCGGCAGGTAGTAGCCGCGATTGGCCAGTATTGGCTGGGAGTGGCCAGAGGCCTCCAGACGTGACTAGAGTATGCTTGGAAGCGGCTAGGTCAAAGAGGGTAACAACGATCAATTTTACCTCTTTCCTAGGTCTGGTGGAGGCCAACGCAGATTGAAAGCACCCCCACGACCAATCTTTCTGTGCATATCAATCGATTTTATCAAATCCAGGACAGTTTATATAATGTGTTGTCAGGGATATTTTCTTTCTACTCCATACACAGAAAGATTAGGAGTTGGGATACGATGTTGTTGAAGAGATTTTTCTCGATCCTGTAAAAAAACCAAGATTAGAAGTACAGACACATTAGAAATGGGTTGGGTTAATACATGCACCAAGATTAAAAACAGACACATTAGAAATGGGTTGTAAGAAGTTAATATACATAATGCGAGACCGTCCACCACGACTTAACCGGGAGACCAAGATTAGAAGTGGGTTAATATAACCGATGACATCTAATGGACAAAATGCTAGGTTAATATAACCAATGACATTTAATGGACAAAATGCTGCTAAACCCCTGTGTCTAATGGACAAAATGCTGGGTTAATATAACCAATGACATCTAATGGACAAAATGCTGCTAAACCCCTGTGCGTATATATCTGGGACATGCATGCATGCCAGCTGCGAATAGCAACCGGTGAACAGAATGTTGTTAAACCCATAACCTAGAATGGCAACCGGTGAACAGAATGTTGCTAAACCCGTAACCTAATGAACAGAATGATGCTAAACCCCTGAACTGGCTGCATTCGTATTTCTAGAACTAATAAATAAATAATCTAATCTAATGAACAGAATGTTGCTGATATCCTGAACACTAACAAATCGTGATGAGATCAAGGCCTATCAGCCATTCAACAGGTCCATGACATAGTCACGGAAATTTTAGAAGGAACTAGCAATGAGGTGTGATTTGAGAAGCAACTAGCAATGAGAAATTTGAGAAGCAACTATTGATGTCAAGGCATAGGGATTTTGAGAAAAGACAACGTTTACAAATGCGTGCAGAATCGTTTCAATGCATATACGGCAATATATTTCGAGAAAAGCACATCGGATAGGTGCGGTATAAGTGGCCAATTTTTCATATTAATAGTCATATAACCAAATAGAAAACCGGGCTACAGGGGGACAAGCAACAATCTAAATGATGGTGCAGTAAACGCTCACTGAAGGCGACAAAACATGGATGCATGTTACGTTTAACAGACAGAATTGCAAAACCAAAAATGGTTTATGGATTCTCAAGTAAACATAAAAAAGTTGAGGTTCCTTGTCCATCTAGCCCGCTCCAGACAAATTAAGCATTACATAACTTCATATCTAGAACAAGTTCAAAGGTGACCACGCCTGCGGAGGATACCACTTAGGCCACCAGAGTGCTGGCCGTGGTTGACTCACTGCACAAAAATAAGGAAACAAGGTCAGCCATATGAAAGAAGTTTCAAAACGGAGTTCAAATAGATAACAATAACAATTGTTGTGCCATATGTGTAAATCAATTTGTAGGAACTTATTAGGATAGCTGAATTAATCTGTTGGGCAAAGTTTAGTCTATAAAGCTATGGCAGAGATTGAATGAAGATAAAACATTCACAAGTCAAATTAGCTATACAGTATAAAAATTGACTGAAACTCTTGTTTTTCAGTTTTGTATAAAACATATATACAAGTTTAAAACAAGACAAATGTATCACTGCAAATTCACTAATCTTTATTGAATTCAACAATTGCACATGTATACTACGAATGATTTTACAAATATATAAAATTGGCACTCGTCAGCATTAATTATATTCAATAAACACGGACACTCACTGCTGATAGTATTTCAAAGGAAGTCAAATTGTACTTTGTCAATGTTGAGTATTCAGAATGAATACCAGCTGTGTTCCAGTGTGATAGACAACAAAATTGTGTCAATCCCCACTAACACACAAGCACACTAAACATGCCTATCTAGCATTGAAGTCAAATAGTATTTCCTCGATTTGTCATGTGCATACCATGACTACCATCAGATAAAAGTGTCACAATTGCCTAAATCTTCATTCCACTAACATGTCTATTTAGCTTCAACTGACTAGGATAAGGGCATAGCATCTACACACACCACTACCATTTCTAGAATAACTGTTAAGTAGTGTTGGTGCACATTTACTCTCAGCACCAAAAACATCACCACAATAACTAACAATTCACAATTCCCATGGTTCAGTCACCAATAACAAAATAAGGCAGGAATGGGTTCTGGTTGACTTACTACTTCCAGGTGGGCGGGAGCTTCTTGGTGCGCTTGTAGTAGCGGGCAAGGCGGTGGATCCTGCTCTCAACAAGAATGAGCCTGAATTTAGAGTCCTTGTCCTTCCTGTTCCTCTCAAGATGCTTCCTAATCGCCACCGCCTTCTTAATGAGGAAGTAGAGATCCTCAGGGATCTCCGGCGCCAACCCTACACGCACACATCCGATAGCATCAACACACCACACTTCAGACGCCGCACATACGAATCGAGCAAGCAGAGTCACAAGTTCTCACCATGGGCCTTGAGGATGCGGAGGATCTTGCTACCAGTGACGCTCTTGACGAGAGGGATACCGTGCTGGTCACGGAGCAGGACGCCAATCTGCGACGGCATCTGGCCCTTCTTCGCAGCCTTGGTAATCATCTCGTCCACCTGCCATTCCACATCGTGCGAGCGCGTCAATCAACGTCAATCAACAAACCGCAACGCCCAAATCGAACCACTCAGGAATGAAGGGGGCAAACAAATCACCTCGGTGGTGGCAATCTTGAGCCAGGTCGGAGGAGTCCTCTTGTTCGGCAGCGCCGATGACGAGATACCCTTCCTGCGTCACAGAGACACGCACACGCCATTAGAACACACTGAATTCACTGGGGAACAGCACTAACGAGTGGAGAAGGGGAGAGATGCTTACCCGCGGCTGTGCATACGCCCCATGGCGGCGGATTGGTGTCTACCTCAGGCGACGGCGGTGGCGTGGGCTTGCTGCGGCGGCAGCGGCGGCGGCGGCGGCGCGAGGGCGAGAGGAGGCGCGTGCGGCGTTAGCAGAGAGCTGCCAGCTAGGGTTTGGGGGCGCTACTTATAGTGAGCGGCGGCGCTGAGGGTTTCCCCTAGGGCTGCGCCGTTTGGATCTGGGCCGGTTGTTGGGCTTCGCCCATGCGCTGAGGACGTTTCGGCCCGGTATGCGTCATCTGAAGCTTTCTCTGATGGAATTTATTCTTTTGTTTCGTGGTAAAATAAAACATCTTTGAAATTGGCTTGTTTCAACTTTAGGACTGTACTTGTGATATATATAGTAGTAATTACGGTTTATAAGGTGAACAATTTTCGACATGTTTTGGAACAATAACTCGTATATTGTTTTCGTCGATACGCATTTCTCTTCGGTTGTTTGTGGTGGAGAACCCTGCGTGTGCCTGGCATTACTCTGCATCTGGCTGGCAGCTCAGCTGAAAGGCTTCGAGTCAGCACGTGTTAATTTGAGTTCTGAGGGCGCTGATTTGGAACCACAAATCCAAATGGGGAGGTGCCGGTTGTCGTATTTGGAACCCAGGGTTTTTCTTCCATGTTCATGTGCAGTTCCTATGAAATCGAAATGACTATAAAATTCTTATACGATACATATGAAAATCATGTGATCCAAACAGACCTTGCAGCATCACGAGTACGCGACAGAGTGAGCAAGCAAAGGTGAAGGTAAGCATCCAGATATTTTATCGGAACATGTTCACTACCAACTACCCAATCTACTAGAGGTTTGTTTAGTTCAACTGTGAGCTATGAAAAAGATGCTACGAGCTATAGTTATGAAAAAGTTGTAGCTGTTTGGTAGAAACATACCTCCTCTATTTATCTCCTTGAAACAATTATAAAATGTCTCTCTATTTTCATTCATTTGGAAAAATAGAAAATTGAAGCCAAAAGTAGGATCTTAGGTGCCGTATAAATTATTCTACATGAAAGCATTTGTTTCTGAAAAAACAACTTCAAATTCCATTCTTGGTAGGTGTTTTGGCCGCAGAAACACTTTCTAGAGAAGCTAAATCAAACACAACCTTAGAATTTTCGGCTGTGTTCGGCTGCAATTCTACCGGCTGTGGCTGCTGCAGCAGCTAGTCATAGCCACAGCCACAGCCACAGCGAGGACTGGCAGCCGAACGAGCTCTTCAAATACAGAATGTGTTGGTGCAGAAAGTGACCAACACATAAATATTTATAGTTTTGCCGTACGTTGTGATCGGATGTGGCCTAGCACTCAATGACACAGGGTTTATACTGGTTCAGGCAACGTGCCCTACGTTCAGTTTGAGTCGGTCGGTGACTTTATTCCTGAGCCTAGGTGCTCGAAGTTTGCTGTGGGGTTACAAACGGAAGGGAGTAAGATGGGGGTGCAAGAGGTCCGGTCGGACTCTAGTCTGAAGGGCCGAGACTCCGAGAGTGACGAGAGTTCCGTTGTGCGCTAAGTGTTTGAACGTTTGTTGTTCGTTGGGATCCTTGGTTGTTCGGATCGTGTGTGTTGTTCGAGTTATCGTCAACTGATGGATCGTGAATCCACCTTCTATTGGGGGAGAGCGCATCCCCTTTTATAGATAAAGGGGGCGGCCTTACAAGTGAGAGAGGCAGAGTGTACGTATGCTAAGTCTTGTTACCCACGTCGTTGGGTACAAGATGATTGTAGGCGCCCACATTACTGTTAATGTCAGATGCATGTGAGAGGTTTCGTCGTCTTCTTCTGGTATGGCAGATGTCGAAGCCTACCATACTGTTGATGTCCAGAGGCATGTGGGGGTTTTACCGTGTTCACCTAGTATGGGAATTGATGGCGCCCATAACACTGTAGGGCAAAACATCGACGCCCACAACACTGTTTGGGTTCTGACATGTCTAGAAGGTTGCAGGGACCCTTCTGACATGTCATGTCGGTACTGTCCTGCAGGTGTACAGGGTACGGGCCTTGGTATTGCGGTTGACTTTGAACGTCCTTCCTTACTTGCTTTGCCTATTCCTTGGGTCCTCACCGAGCGGGCGTTCCCGGTCGGTTGGTCCCAGTCGGCTCTGACTGCGCCAGTCGGAGAAGAGGTGTAAGCAGTGGTTCGGTGCATCCCGATCAGAGACGCGGGTTGGAGTTGGAAGCGAGCGCCGTTCCTCTTTGTTCAGGCCTTTCGATCAGAGAGACGGGCCGGAGTCAGAAGCGAGCGTTGTTCCTCCTCGGCCAGGCCTTCCGGCCGGAGAGGTGGGCCGGAGTCAGAAGCTAGGACTTTCGGTCGGAGAGGTGGGCCGGAGTTGGAAACGAGGCCTTCCAGTCGGAGAGGCGGGCTAGAGTCAGAAGCGGGCGTCGTTCCTCCTTGGCTAGGCCTTCCGGTCGGAGACTGGATCGCCCTTCTGTCCTTTTGTTAGGTATTTGGACCAGCCTAGGAGTTGTGCGTCGTTCGCAACGTCGCCTACTGGGCCGAGCTTTTGCTGGGAAACGAGTCCATGTCCATGAGGGATCCCGGGTTTATGAACCCGATAGGAGCCCCCGGGTGATTCGGGTAGAATCGTCTGGGGGATTTTTATCTTGACGGCGGGTGCGCGTGAGTGCACCCGCGGGTGTAGCCCATGAGCCCCTAGGCGATTCGGGTAGAATCGTCTGGCGGGTTTTTCGTGTTGCCAGTGGGGGAATTTTTTGTTTCGTCAGCGGGTGCGCACGAGCACACCCGCGGGTGTACCCCCGAGCCCCCGGGTAATTCGGGCAGAATCGCTTGGGGGGTTTTGTGTCGGGCGTGAGTGTGTGTACTATAGTGGGCGTAGTCTCTTCTTTTCCGGTTTTGACCCATCTTTCCCAGGAGCATGGTGAAAGGTGTTTGGTCGCGGCCGAGGGACTGGGCGAGGAGTTTTGTCAACTGGGGCGTCGAGCGCGCCGAGGGTTCAGGCGAGTCGAAGTCGCGAATCTAGGGATCGGGCGAGTCAGAGTCGCTAACCAAGGCATCGGGTGCGCCAAGGGATCGGACGAGACGGACTCGCGGATCCAAGCGTCGGGGGCACCGAGGGATCGGGCGAGTCAGAGTCGTGGATCTAGGTGTCGAGCGCGTCGTGGGATCGGGCGAGTCGGAGTCGTGGACCCAGGCATAGTGGAGGCGTTGGGCATAGCCGATGGATAGTCGAGGGATCGGGCGAGATGGACTCACAATCATAGGCGTGCAGCCGAGGGATCGGGCGAATCAGAGTCATGGATCCAGGCGTTGGGCGCGCCGAGGGTTTGGGTGAGTCAGAGTCATGGATCTAGGGATCAGGCTCACCGAGGGATCGGGCGAGTCGGAGTCGTGGATCCAGGCATCGGGCGCGCCGAGGGATCGGGTGAGTCGGAGTCGCGGATCCAGTCGTCGAGCGCACCGTGGGATCGAGCGAGTCAGAGTCGCTGACCCAGGCGCAGCCGAGGCGTTGGGCATCTTGAGCCCCATTGGGCTTGGTAGGGGTCGGTTGAGTTTCATGCATTACCACGTCCGCGGTTTCTTGGAACCAGAGGGGCTGAGTTAACGTCGCTTGCCTCGATGGCTCGAGTGACACGCTCGGTGAGCTCGCTAACAGGCATGTTCGAGTGAAGTCTGGGTCCTTTGTTCGTGATGGGGTCGGCATAGCCCTCATGTGGCACTCCACAGCTCCTTAACCCGTGTCCCAGCAGATGCCTGGGTCATTCCGAAGACTGACCCGGGTGGCCCGCTGGCCTCCCCTTGATGGAGATTCTGTGGGCATGGCTCGAGGTTTGGATCGAACGAGAAGGTTGAGATGACCTTGTCTGCTTCGGGGCAGACTAGGCGAGGGCCGCTCGGGGTTCATCTGCATTTTCTCCCCTAGCTCTGTTTGACGTGAGGTGGCCTCGAGCCCTTTGTGGGCTAGCCTTCGAACCCTGGTCGGTCGTTGCTTATGTTGAATGAGGCAACTGTCGCTTTGTGATACAACACAGAGCATTGTGATGCATTTAACTGCATATGCAATGCTCCAGATGTATGGGATGAATGAATGCGTGCATGAATATATGAATGATAGCAGATGAATGAATGATCATATAAAGAAATAGTGGGGTTTGGTAATGTTACCTTGATGACTCGAGTGATGGGGTTTGAGGAGCTCCTATCGGATATGTCCGACCCAGATCCGCGCTCGTCGTTCGTGATGGAGTCGGCATGGCCCACATGGGGCGTCCCTCTGCTCCTTACCTATCTCTCGGCGTTTGCCTGAGCCATCCGATCGACTCAGGAAGCCTGTTGGTCTCTCCTAGGCAGAGATCCTGTAGTTGGGCCTTTCCAAGTCCTGCCTGGGAAGGCGGAGGGCCGCCTGCGCGAAGTGGCGCCTTGTTTCTCGCACCCGGCGTATGGTAGTGGTGGGCCATACCAAGGCCATGTCCCATCTGACCAGGCATCGTTCCGTCGGGTAGGGTGCGTCCCATTGGTTCAGGGCGCGTCCCATCGTATCCCATCCGCAATGAATGGGGGAAGGAAGAGGGCTTTTCACCCCAATCCCTCGCATTTCCCCAACTGATGCGCCTTCTCCTTAAATAGGGAAAGGGAGAGGGTTTTTGTCCTGTTCCTTCACCAATTCCCCATCTATCGCCTCTCCTCCTTCTTCCTTCTTGCCGAGAGCGTTCGTGCGCCGCGGTGGTTCCCAGAAAAAAGAAAGGGGAGAGCGAGGGAGAGGAGAAAGCTCACAGATCCATAGCACAATGTTGAGCTGGAGGTCATCCGTTGTGAGGGAGTCGGTGCTAGCCGCCTTCGCTGAGAAGGGGGTGCTGCCGCCAAAGGAGGTGGCGCACTAGAGGGCTCCTGCGGGCGAGGATTTCCCGCAGCCTTGGGCCGGCGAGGTTATCTCCTTCCTCGCCTTCCATGAGCATGGGTTGGGATACCCCATGCACTAGTTCCTGCGTGGGCTCCTCAATGAGTGGGGCCTAGAGCTACAACACC